TATGTTGTTGTGCTGTGGTGTTTGTGTGGGACTGCTCAGGTGGACTGGGGTTAGCCGTGGAGTCTGCTCTGTTTGAGCAGCAGGGGGCCACAAAAGACGTGGTCCACTGCAGATGTGTCCGTAGTCCTGAGCAGACTCTGAGGTGACTCCACCCCTCGCATGCATTGCACTTGACTGAGGTGGAGTTGTGGTGTAGTCGTCTCTGGAATACACAGCAGGTGTAGGTTTCTGTCCCTGGGTTTGACTAGATGCCAGCCCTCAGTAGAAGAAAACGTAGCGAATGTAGCCCTATGGACGAACAACTTCTGAGATACTTCGCCGACCTAAACGGGGTTAGATCGCCGAAACAACAGCCCTTGGTCGGGTAAAAACCGAGTCATTCCGGTACGTAGAACCGGCTGTCGTGGGAAAGGTGTTCTGTGGTCTGTCGTGGCTGTGGTATGGTTTGTGGTGTTATTATGTTGTTGTGCTGTGGTGACTGTGTGAGGCTGCTCAGGTGGACTGAGGTTAGCCGTGGAGGCTGCTCTGTTTGAGCAGCAGGGGCCACGTACGACGTGGTCCACTGCCGATGTATCCTTAGTCCTGAGCAGACTCTAAGGTGACTCCACCCCTCGCAGGCATTACACTTGACTGAGGTGGAGTTGTGGTGTAGTCGTCTCTGGCATACACAGCAGGTGTAGATTTCTGGCCCTGGGTTTGACTCGATGCCAGCCCTGAGTAGAAGAATACGTAGCGAATGTAGCCCTATGGACGAGCAACTTCTGAGATACTTCGCCGACCTAAACGGGGTTAGCTCGCCGAAACAACAGCCCTTGGTCGGGTAAAACCCGAGTCATTCCGGTACGTAGAACCGGCTGTCGTGGGAACGTGTGTGTAAGCGCTAATCTATTATTATTACATAAACTTACACGTCATAAGCACAGTTTATGTCAAAAAATTTCAAAGTGAAACTACCTTCTATTTTTTCTATCATGCTATTACTATGCATTTTCAAGGCGCAAATAATTTGTAACAATTATTACAAACGATGTTTTCCAAAACGAACAATGAAATAATGCTCTCCAGAGATTGCGAGTAATGAATATTTTTTAAATTTCAACTCTAAAGATCCTGCTGAAAGAGAAATTCTGTGCATAAGGAGGAAACCAACATACTCCTTGTTACTCCTTGGACAACCTTCAGCGGCACTTTTACCCAAGCGTACTTGTGCACAAGGGTATTGTAGTAGTACTACTTACTAAGTAGTAAATAATAGTATATATTTTATTCTTATGTTACAATTTTACAATACTTATATCTATTGTAGAATTTCCAGAACGGTGTGTTTATTCCAATACAACAATTTTGTAAATGTAAGTTATTAAATTTTAAAATTAAAATAATTTTTCACTAAATTTCCTTCGTGAAATTGGCTGTTAGCGTAAGTAGGAAGGTTGCTGTTAAAATATTTTGCGGTGGCAAGATCAAGGTGCTAATAGATATCATGCATTGACCAATTTTGGGTTCTAGAAAGATACGATGAGGATTCCATTTGAGTATATTTTAACTTTGTTCACATAACGAATGTTTGTAACAGCCAACCCAAATCGAGATAGATATAGACAAATGTACACATAACTGCTCAGAATGAAGAAACTGTCTGGGACCTATTTCATAAAAGTGACAGGTGCGACAATTATCGATTTTTATATAAAATTTCACTGCCAGAATTGTCGTCGACATTTTCCGTTTCATATACGTTTGTAGGCAACTGTGAAAATTTTTGGAAAACGATGGTGATAATATGGAATATTGTCGACTATTGTGCTGACAATTGTCACTCTGACAAAATTGTCGCGACAATGGCGACAAAACCAAATAGCTCCGTCGGAAAGCTTTCACAGGACAGTTTTGTAAATTTATTTATATTGTAATTGCGCGCATTTCATTACTTTTCAATAATTTGAATATTTCTTAAAACTAAAATAATGCAAATGCAATTATTACATATGATTTACATATAAATGCTATATGACTGGCGACAATTTTGTCAACGATAATTTTAGTCCCCGACAATGCCAATTTGTCACTTTTTCAATAATGCCTCTGGATTAATCAAATATGAATATAAACGAAGCATAACATTTTCAAAGGAGCATTATAAGCTTTTTTTCAAACAAGACAAAAGGTTATTTAAAATAAGCCAAAAAATAATATATCGAATAACTTCTTACATCATGGGTCTGAACTTTTTATGTATAAAAAAATCAGATTAAGTAAATATGTATGTATATGTATCCGTTTGTATTAATTAAACTTTTATAATTTTACAATTCACTTGATATGCCGCTAAATAGCGATTTTACAGTATGATAATGATCGGTATACATAAAAATCCATTCTTGTATGGAAACATATGAACCAACTGCCACACCAGTGATGTCAATAAATGCTAAGAGCATACTCAGCAGAAGGTGAAATTTTAGTGGGCCGTAACCAGTTTCGTTCTTGACGCAAATATCCGAAATAGCGGGCAATAATAGACCCAGCAACGACAAACAAAGCGCCCCAACAAGCGAAAGTATAACAGTCAATTAAGGGCAGGCGATCGCGACTAACACTATAGATAAAATAGAATAGAGCAATCAATGTACTTATGTAATATAAAAAACTCAAGCGGGTAACAATTTAATTTGACTGATGAAACGGCGATCACTTTACGAAAAACCATTTCGAAAGCAAAAGCCCTATCTTCAGCTACTTTTGCTTTCAACCAATTATTTCACATCACGTCCACAGGAACATATCCTTGTAGTGGATGAGAAAGGAGAATACTAAAGGCAAATATAACGCGCCCACTGCCGACAGCCTAGAAAACTTTACAACTACTAATTAAATAATTTGATCAGTGATTTCAGTGGGTTTACTGACACAGTATTAGAAGGCAAATTTTGTAGAACAGCTGCGGCGATTTGCTCACCATACCTCCAGTAGCCAAAGAAAGCGAATACTATTTGTATCAATAAAATAAAAGGCATGGCTTGTATGAAGGCGCCGCCAACTTTACGGAAATCTGCGGGATTTTTCATATTCGCCTCTATGGATACTATCTGCAGAAAATATTTGTGATGTAATACTATAATACCTCATTTTACATATCGTCATTTAGAGTACAAAACCGCGTATCGTCGCTCTGTAAAACCGCGTAACTGACATTTTTTGCAAAAAAAAAAGGATTTGCTCACCGAAACTCTAGCCAGAAATGCCATTGCTTTATAAAAAAAAAAATGGGACCATTTTGAAATATGAGTGTTTTTACTCTCTAGAATATAGTTTATGCAACCTAACATACGCGGTTTTGCATTTTGTTGATACGCGGTTTTGTACTTTAAACAACGAAATATACAGTATTGGACATATCTATAGCACCCCCCTTTCAAAGCGATATTGTTTGCCCCTTATGTTTAGTTTTTTGTTTTGATGAATTTTCAATTAAAATGTTTTAAACTATGTAAAAGACCGCAAAAAAGCGCAACAAACTTTCCCTTAAATTTCAAACTTTTTTCTCAGAAGCTCTAGAATTTTTTTGAGTACACAGTTTTATAGCGCATTCAATTTTAGTCCGATAATGTGCAAGTTTCAAGTCGCTAAAGATTACCGTTGATTTTTTAGAACTTTTTTGTCTCATTTGCTTCCATATAACGACTAAACACAATTTATTTTTATATGGCAGAAACCCGCAACATCCTCGGCGGAAAAAATTCTAAAAAATCAACGGTAATTTTTAGCCACTTGAAACTTGCACTTTATTAGACTAAAATTGAATGGGCTATAAAACTGTGTATTCAAAAAAATTCTACCGCTTCTGAGAAAAAAGTTCGAAATTTGGGTGAAAATTTGTTGCACTTTTTTGCGGTATTTTAAAAAGTTTTAAACTTGAGTTTATGTGAGTTTTGTGAGAGAATGAACTGTATTTTAATTGAAAATTCTTAAAAATAAATAAATAAACATGAGTGGCAAACAATATGACTTTGAAATGGGGGTGCTATTGTATTGGCCAATACTGTATGTATGTTAAACAACCAGCCCCGGTGCTTCAAAAGCGAACATTGTAGCTCCGAAGAACAAGGGATATAAATAGATGTCCTGAAAGGAAGTCATCTCCGAAAATGGCGCCATATCCTTTTCCAATATTATATTAATTAGAAATCTTGAATTTAAGCTTAATTGCTTTCCGAATATTAAAGCAATATTCGCAACAAATACAACTGGAACTAAAGCTTTCCGGTTTGGTATATACAAGATCAGGCACAATTTCTATTAACATATAAATGCGATTGTCATATTCTTCCCAGTAGTAATCACCGAATCATGAAAATAACAAAAAGCAGGCGCCAAAGTGATAAACGAAAAGCATCGTATTAGATAGACAGCTGAAATTACAAAAATTATTATTTCGCATAATCTTTGATATGAATTTCAAGAGGCTTTTTACCTTAAAAATGATTACAGCCAACGGAGAGCGGGTGGACCTTCGGTCACGCCAATCATCATCGCTTCCCTCAACACGTTTGCGCCTCGCGAGTTCATACGTGCCACTAAGCTGAAAGCGCAATATTTAATTATACATATGTATGCACGTTTCAAAAACTTTCGCAACTCGATTTATTTACCAAAATTAACTTTGAATAAATTATGATAAAACCGATAATCACAGTGCTTATTATTGCAAGTAGGTAACCAGCCCTTCTGAAAGCCATGGGAGCAGGCAGGATGCCAGTTCCCAATACAGATATGATAACGTCCAGAAAAGCACCAAAATTGCTGTAAAAAATTTTTTGAATTTCAAAAATTAATGTACATGCATGCATGTTCGTAAAACAAATTTCTAGAATTTACCTAATTGGATGTGCTATCTCTCGATGTTCGTAAGGATGCACCAATATATTTGTGTATTACCATACCAATTAGCAAATACTTTAATATCTAATTTTAAGCTTTTATATCAGAGTATACACGGATTAAGGATTTTTTATGATTTATTAAAGTTATACTGTTTATAATATACATACAAATACATACATAATAATCATTACGTCAAAGCAAAAACTTCAGCGTAGTCAGAGGCTTATTACTGAAACTGTGTACTGATGGCTTCAATATTTCTGCAAGTTACTTACGTATATATTAGGTTTTTATACATTTTAAATGTACAATGTAAGTAAATGAGAAAAACGCAGATGACACCACAATGAAAAGCAACTTCGTCATTCAAGTTACCATCTGTTTATGATGATTTATGCGTAATCGTGTGCACGTAACAAGTTCTAAAACAACTTCTTAATCTGTGATAAACGAATGAAGACAAAAATGAGTGCCTAATTTAGACGCTGCGTAATAGGTAACTTCTTACGTCGACGACGAGCTAATTGCTGGCGTTCCCAATACTCATAATAGCGTTCTTGTTTCAACCATTCTTGGTATTTGTACCACCACTCTTCCCACTTTATGTAATCCTAAAGGGATAGTTGTGTTAGTTGTTATTAATTTATTCTTTAATACAATGATTTTCGTACCTTTAAGTCTAAATCGCGCAAATATCCGCGGCTTTTGTAATATTCATAACGGACGCGTACATCATCCCACGACAGCATACCCGACGGTGCTGTTGTTGCAAGTTCTTCCGGAAAATGACCAGCCGGTGCTGGCGAATACGAATAACGGCGCGGCGGAGAGCCGAGTCCCTCTTCAATCATAACTTTTAAAGCTCCCCCGGTGGAATCTTTGGTAATGCGCATATTTTCCATGTTACTACGATCAATACTCCACTGTGCCATTTTACCGAAACGTTCGGATAGTGTTAAGCCAGTGGCAGCAATAAAAGTAGGCAACGAACTGTCACTATCCGAGCCCCCCGAATCATCTGATTCCGATGACGAATGCTTCTTTCTTTTTTCTCCTTCTATTTTAATGCGCGTACGCAGCTGTGAAAAATATACAATTTTATAAATTAGTAGAATACATACATAACTCTGAACTATTTATAATTCCAATTGAAACGCAATATGTATGTACTTCTCGGTCTTTTTTCTTTTTCTTGGCAACGGCCGAAGTTGTCGAAGAAGACGAAGCAGGCTCTGGGGGCTCTGGCGGACGATTTTTGACACGTGGATCCTCAGTGGGCGAATGTCGACCTGAACGTACAAGTTTCAGACGTCCATCTGACGGTACACGATCAATACTACGGTCATGACTATACCGACGAACTTTTTCTCCGCGATACTTATCTACAGAACGCACGTTCGGAGGTGGTGGAGTAGTCGGACGAGCGTGCATACGCGACGAAGTGTGGCCGCTTGGAGGTGGTTGACCTCCACGGTATTGCAACGAACGTGAAGAAGATTTTGGCGGCGGAGAACGGGGACCACCTGGTATACGCGAACGCGGCAACGAATGAGATCTGTATATAAAATAATTAGTTTAAATTTTAATGAATATAAGTACTAAACAGTCTATACCGTGATCTATGGTGGTGTTTTGGAGAACAAACAGAGCAAGAATCATCGGAACAACTACTTACAGAGCTGTTTGATCGCGAACGGCAAGAACTCTGAAATGAAAATAAATCAAAACACATTAACATTATGTATTTGAATTGTCATTAAACCCATATGTGCAATACGCACAACATCGGTCATATCATTAGCATCTGCATTTCAAAGTGATATTGTTTGCCTCTTACATATGTTTAATTAATTACATTTAATGCCCAGTTACACCAATCAATTTTCAATTTATGAGGCAGTTCAATTTAGACATAATTTTTGTTCGGAAAATTTGTCATTTTAAATTTTAACAGCCTGATAAATTTTAACACGGATTGTTGAAACCGAGTATAAGAATTTTCAATTAAAATACATTTCATTCTCTAGCAAAGCCCATATAAACCCAAGTTCAAAACTACAAATTGAATAGGCTATAAAACTGTACTGAAAAAAATTCTATCATTTCTGCAAAAGTTTGAAGTTTGGGTGAAAGTTTGTTGAAATTTTTTTGAAGTTTCCGGGAAGTTTTTAACTTGGATTTTGTTCGAGAATGATGTGTATTTTAATAGATAATTTCTAAAAATAAATAAATAAATATAAGTGGCAATCAATATCACTATTAAATGACGGGGCTATTGATTAATCAATGCAATTAAACTTACTCTCGGCGGAGGAGACGGAGGGCGCTTTGATCGTGGTAATATTTGCCCCCGTTTATTTGGTCCCACCGGTGGCGGCGACCGTCTGCGACTAATATTAGGTGGAGACCGACGTCGACCTAACGGCGAACGCGACGGCTTCCGACGCATTGGTGGCTCCGGTGGAGAACGCGGTCGATTGTTTCCACTGCTACTACCCCCGCCCAACGGCATACGACCGCGACCCAAATCCGAAGGGGAACGCGGAGGTATACCACCACGTGGTGGTGGCGAACGAGGACGACCGCGCATGCTGTCCATGGATGGTGGGGACATCCGACGTCCTCCCATCTCAATAGGTGGCGAGCGACGACGCATAGGTGGCGACATAGGCGGAGATTTCCGTAAACGTGAACGACTGCGCGAACGCGGTGACCGTGAACGACCATATCGACCGGAAGTCGGTGGCGGACCACCAACAGGTCCCCCGACTGGACCTCCAGTAGACGAATTATAACGAAAACCCCCTTCGCGATCACTTTCTCCCGAACTGCTTTCACCTTGTATATACATTTTCTTGTAGCCGGTATGCCGCCAACGGTTGGGATCTTTTTCTTCTACCTCAATCAACTTTTTATCCCAGTAGTCATTGGTGTTTGCCCGAGCTTTTTTCATGACGTTATCGATCTCTCGACGTTTTCCAGCCGGAAGTGATGGATCTGAAATATAATGAAAAAATGAAAAGTTACATTGGGTTTTTCGGATTTCTTTAGGTGTATATATTTTAACCATAGTGTTATGAATTAGAGGTTTTTGCAAAACTACGAAATCCCTTGCAAAGGAAAAAGATAAGTTGTTATATTATTATACCTGTAATGCGGGCAACAGTAGGCTGCCTATCCATGTGAAGTTTAGGATTAATTTCTCCACGTCTGCGCGAAGTCGACATGGTGTAATATGATAATTTAAAGCGGTATAATATAAGCGAGCGAATGAAGATCAACGAGAATTACGATTTGATCGCCAATATTCGCAAGAATGAATATTCCGAAGGTCAAAATTCAACCTTACGATTAAAACGTACGTTACGCGCGTAAAACCGAAGTTGGAGACCAACTTAATCAAGCTTTTAGTAATAACGCGCACTTAAGCACTGACACAAAAAAGCTGGAAGGAAACATTGTAATGAAAAATAAGTGAACAGCACTTCAAACAAGCAAATTTATTATATATTTTTTCTTTTCCATAATTATATTAGTGGGTGGAAGCAAGGGGTGCAAAAACAAAGTATGAGAAAGAAAAGGGTTAAAAACATGTAACTTCAACAAATTTTCTGCATTTTTCAATAGAAGTAGTTATTTTTTAGCAAAGTCAGTTTATGTACATTAGAAGCAAGGCTTCTAAAAGCAGTTGCTGTCAGAAAGCGATAATCAGCGATAACGTAAAGACGTAAGCCTTTTGACCGGGATACCGACTACATACATAGCAGACACGTAATGTGCGACCGTAAACCGCGTACCGTCACGATTTTGATTATGAATATTTTATAGTTTACACATTTTGAATACGCGCGAATGTTTATAGAGCTTCACCGCAATTCTTAACTCTAAATTTCACGACGAAATAGCATATCACGAACCGGCAGTAAGCTTATAGAGTAACCGATTCCGTAAATTCAGCAACTGCTACACCACTAAAGTCACGCTGCATGCGCTATCAGCAGTATATTTTGAGTTCAACACATTTCTCGCGGAACAATTGCTTGTATTGAGATTGTTTCATATAAATCTCATCTTACTTCCCAAAACACAGTTCAGTTCTTTTTTTCTTATATTGGATTAAGATGTTCACGGCGCCCGACAAGCTCATTCACCGACACAAAGTAGCCAGAGCAAAAGGCTGCGACCGAACCATATCGACCCGATAGCTAAAACCGAGGCATACATTTTTCGCTTCGATACAAAACACACAAATGCCACACATTTTAACTGCTTTAATATATAAATTAATATATGTATTGATTACGTACGTTTTAAATACACGTTTTCACAACTTTTCTCAACGATAGCGATTTTTTTATTCCAACAATGGATTATAAAACTGCGACACGGACGCACAACACTGATTTTCAGTACTTGACGTCCATTTTGGAAATGGAAGCTATTATCGAGCGAACGAAGTCCAGATATGCTCACAATAAATCGAGTTTTTTTTCTTAGTTATCGACTTCGATAAGTGTTTCTCAATCTACAATTTGGCGACGAATGCTTAAGGCCGAGATACAGGACGGAAGCGGCTTATCGAACTTACTTCAAACGGTATAAGATATGGCCCCGTCAGAACGGGGTACTTTGCTGATGAAACCGACAGTTGAGTAGACTGTATGTGTTTGCATACAGAGCGTCAGATTGGTAGCCCTTGCGTCGACGGACCCAACGAACGTTGGCCATCACTCGACTTTTGACGCACGCAAGTCCGTCCCTGCTGACAGTTGTATAACCTAGCGTTTACACAAGACCATTCTTTGGGTAAAGTAGGCATCCAGAAAATAAACTGTCTTCGAAAAGCCAGAGACAGTGGCGAAGACATCAAGAGAAGTGTGAATATATTATTAAAAAAAAGTGTGAATAATTCCTATTGTATCTGCAAAATTGACTTCTGTGACTACGCGGCCATAAGGAACAACTGATTTTTGTTTACAGACGCAACACTTTCATTGTGGCGTATATCTACGGTACGTACAAGTACCCATTCTGACGGGCCTATAAAGATTCTGAACATTACAAAGCAGAAAAAAGTAACGGTATGGTTTACTTTTTTTCAGAGGGAAACGAGGACTACAGTTAGTATGAAAGGTCAAATATAACGAAAACCATCTCAGTGATTTCAAAAATGTTGCTGTTCCATGGGAAATATGAATAATTAAGTAGTAAATGAATGAAGCTTTTATTTGGCATATAACATGTTGTTATTTGTCCTCGCTATACATAGTAGTTCAAAATTAAACCCGTTCGGTCCCACTCTGGCTACGGTGTTCCGGTATTTTGCCCGGAACTCGTTTACGACACCAGTAATAACATGTCGGCAGGGGTGGCTGTCATTTTACTTTATTGAAGGCCATCTTGAATATTCATATGCACAAGAAAAATTATATTACTTTGGCAAAAGAAGAAGGCCTTCCACTCTATTCTACGGCAACATAGAAAGGAGAATTCTACTTAATAAGTGTTATAATTCTTACGCAGAAAGGATTTCGCCATACACCATGCAAACATGATTCCTTCAAGCAAAGAATTTTACTTTTCTTCCGGTTCACAATGAAAGAAATTTTGGTTTTATTCCATTTTTCTATCTTACGTACTCACTCCGTACATTCTAAATGAGGTGAATTTACTAGACACGACGCATGCGGTTACCTCAAACGTCAACATGGCGGCAAGAAAATCAAAAAAATTTGATTTTTGTTCAAATTTCTCTCAAGCAAAACCTTCAAACACCCCCATACGAAAAAAAAAAATAGCCTGAAGCAAAGAGATACTCGCTTGGTTTGTCAGTTTTCTTCTGTGGTGTATGTCGCTCTTAACTTGTAGAGTTGCGCAACTAGTAAGGCTATTCACCAAGAACGATAGAATACAAGATTTCGCATTCCCGCAGAACGACATTTGTGGCAACGGGTAAACAAAGAATATGGCGAAGAACAATGAGTTGACAGTTATGAATTTGCAGTGACAAAACGTGTTTTCTTCATGATTCACTAATTTCTCAAGCCATCTTTGAATATGGCAAATTAAGCACAACGTATACAACCACTCTTGAAATGTGTTCAAAAGAATAGGTCTTATTAATTAACTATTTAGAATTTTTGTGTTTGTATTGCAGGTGCCGAAAAAGTGATAATATCTTGTCGCAGCGCATGTTTTGCTGCAGAAAGTGGTCGATGCTTGCTTACCTCCGATTTTAATTTGTAATTTGTGGTATTTCAACGTTTTTAACCGACTTCCAAAAAAGGAGGAGGTTATCAGTTCGTCGGAATATTTTTTTTTTTTTTTTTTTATGTATGTTACCGCATAACTTTGGACCATGTCAACCGATTTCGATAATTTTTTTTGCATCGGAAAGGTAGGGTCTCAGAGGTGGTCCCATACTAATCTGGTTTAGATCTGATCATTGGATCATGAAATATATAGAGATATATATACTTTTTTTAAGTCGGTTTTTTTTTTTGCTAAAAATTACTTGTCAATTTAACATGTCGTGTTTAAAAGTGGTCCGTAATGTGCTTCACGTTTTTTACTTCAGTACACATGAATTACTTCGATTTTTCACTTGAAAGTACACAATACGTTTGCACTTGTTTCTAAATAAAAAGTTTATTTACGTATTGCCATAAATGTCAAAGTCGGCAAAACCAAAGTAGCGGTTTCGGGAATGCGCCACCTTCAGTTCATTTCACTATGGCTATTCACACATATAGTGTTTTGCAGGATTTAGTCCAAAGTCGTTCCCGTGCGCCACGTTTACATAAGGAAATATAGCTGTTGCTGTAAAAACTGCAAATCCTAAAAATCCTGGAGTACGGGAACAGGCTAAAGCTGATGCCACATAAAACTTTTGCTTCGCTTTACGTGACAGATTCGCTTTGACAGATAAGATGAATTGTATGAAAATGCACAAAGCATACCACATAGTTCATTGAAGCTGCCACGCGAAGCGAAAAGATGGCCAACTCCCATCTTTTTGCGCGCTTTGACAATCAGTCGGTTTAATATTTATTTTGTTTCGACCAAATTCAAGTATTCATGCAGAAACATAAAACTGAATTACATTGCTGATAATTTTAAAGCAAAATATCTCAAATCCACAGATCTGAAAAGTGTCAAAATGCAAGAGCATAAGCAAAATGCCCTCACTAAAAGAGAATAACAGGAAAAAGTAAAGGAACGCAAAAAACCAAATTGGCAACAATAAAACTAACGTCAAATAAGAATAGAAATGTATGTACATAACACATTCGCACAAGCATAAGCACAATAAACACTACTATGTCAATTATTTTTTGCCTCCTTCCACTTTCAATCCACTTTTTTTTACTTTTTAGATAATCCTCACTTTTTGTCTATTCGTTAATTTCCGTTAATTTAAATTCAGTTGAGTTTGACACTTTTCAAGATTTTGCCAGAAAAAATTCTTCTGACTAAATCTGACTACTTCGGACTGAAGAGAGTCACTCTCACGAGTGTTGCTCTCTCATTTTTGCTGTCATGTTCGAGTTAAGGAACGCTTTTTGGACTAAATCTGACTACTTCGGACTTTTTCTGACTATTTCTGGGAGATAAGGAACGCAACTTGTACGCCAAGAGCATTGCCGTTTTGTATATAGCGTCTTTACATACTAAGTTTGTTCCAGTATTCTTCGTACAAAAACCTGTTGAACTGTCAAACTTCTATATTACTCTTTTAAGTGAGAGTAAAAGGAGAACAGATACAGACGTGTACGGGAACGCAAGAAGCACTTTTTTCTACACAAACTTCAGTTGGTTTGTTTACATGTTATCGGTACTAAACTGATTTGGCTGAAAGATCAGTAAATAATTATTAAAATCTATTCAATTAACAATAATTGCGTACATATTCAAATTATTGGTTGTTGACTTCCATTTTTTTTTTTAGCAAATGTAATGCAGCGTTTTTGCTGCACTTAAAATGTGACGTTAAGCGCTTTCGAACATATTTTTTCGAATAGCGTTCATGCTATCGCATTTAGCAAATGTAGGTACATTACATACACGCGGGTTAGCAATCGTATTGTTTTGACAAACAGCCGTGTTCCAGTCGCTTCTCAATTTAATTCTCACAGATAAGATAATGTGCAAAAACACCTACTGAAAAGGGAAAAAGAAATTTTAAACAAAAAATTCAATACAAACACTTGATTTGTTTTAACCATAACCGAAAATTTGTTTGTGTATTTATTCATTTGTCCGTGCTGTCAATTGAAATTTCCGCAATTAAATAGGAGAAAAACAAACAGAGTTGATCACAAATTGAGCCAGATTTCTATCAGTATCACATTGATGTGGAATTTGCGCAACTTTCCTTTTTCCAAATAATGTAAAATAATAAATGAAACCTCGATCGGTGATCAGTGAAACACAGCTAGCAATTGTATAAGCGAAAAAGCAATGTTGCCATTTTTCTCATTAAACCATGTTCGAATCGTGGAAATTTTTGAAGATCACAGGGTTGCTTTTACCATTTAGACTCCTAATGCAGAAACGGAGTTCCATTTAGGTGACGAATTTTGTATGGATAAATGTACATTTAGAGCTAAATGGGATAAATGTGCTTTTACGCGTAAGCAAAAACAGCCCATAAGGTTCTTTGTTTTCACCGCGTTCTGTTTTTGTCTACAAATGCAACCCCGCCTATCGTTTGATACTTTTCATGAACTTGCAGGAAGAGTTGCTCTCTTAGGCTATATGCACACTTGTTGTCCAATCATAGTTGCGTTATTGTCTCGCCCTGAAATTTTGAGCCCAGCACATGCATTTCAAAGGAGATTGGCACACTTGTCGTTATCGGCTAGTTATCGGCAAATCGTAGAAGATGCAGAAACGGATAAGTACGGCACTGTCGTTTGCTAACACGATTGAGAGAAATAGAGATTGCGCCAATCGCGGTACCGCTAATCCGGTCTTTGTGATTTTGACAGAATCAGCTGTGTTCGTGACATCATCTTGGTGCAATTGTTGATTGTGAGCATACGAAAAAATCACATAACAATTTTAATATATGTGCGTTAATATTTCTGCGTGGTTTTAAACAATTATTGAGACATTACAAAGCAAAATGAAGTGTGCCGTGGCAAAGTGTAATAGTGAAAACAAAAGGAAAGCGTGCGATATACGTTTTTTTTTCGTTTCCTACGGACGCAAATCTGGTGAAAAAGTGGAAGCAGTTCTGCCGGCGAGGAGATGCATTAAACACCAAATGGAGATATGTGTGCATGAAGCACTTTACTAGTGAAGATATTGAAAATAATATTTTTAGTGCTGGTATGAGGTAATGCATCAGTGGATAAGGTCACCAGGCGTTAATTCAAGCGGCATCTTACCGCGCTATTACGTACCTAATACAA